TGAACCTACTGAACTATGAGTCAGTATATCAGCATAAGAGTCCAAAGGACAGCTGGGCAAAAAAAAAAAAGTGCCCAATAGTTCATTCACCAAAAATATGCAGTTCATATTGACCTGCAAATGTTCACACATTCAGGTTGCATTCACATAATTATTTCAGTGAGGGAGGAGGTGGGAGGAAGGGAGGGGTAGGGGAGATCCTAGATTTACAAGACTAAGGGAATGGAAGAAGGAAGGTATTTTCCCTTCTACCTACCTCCATAGTCTACCACAAGGGTTGCGTACCCCTGGGGGTACTTTGGAAGGCCCCAGGGGGTATGCGGCAGTGGCGCAGAGAAGCCGGTGGCACTTCTGGTTTTGTTGCCACACAGGGGACCTCTCCTTGCTCATCAACCAACTGTTGGGGGACCCCCCACGCCCGTAAACCAGCTGCCCTGACCAAGAAAGGTTGAAAACCCCGGTCTAGCGCAAAGATCAGCGATGTTTTCCAGCAGGGAGGCTGGAATGACCCAGCTTGGGTCTGAGGCAAATGGGGAATAGGACGCCGGCTGCTGCTGCACCACTTTTCCCCACCTCTCAGCTGCAGGGTAGTGAAACAAAAGCTCTCCTCCTCCAGAGCCCATGCCACATGACTGTGGCACAGCATGCGCAAAGCACTCCTCCACCACTCCATGGCGTGGTGCACAGAGAGTCCCTACCAGCAAATGCAGAGACTCTGCAGGCCAGATTTGGCCTGTAGGCCATAGGCTTCCAATCCCTGGGCTACTGGTTAGGGCACCCATTGAGGATGGGGGAGACCCAGGTCCAATTCCCATTCTCCTCCTGAGAAGATTTCCATCTGTAGCTTCCACCTCCTACAATCATCAGTACTGGCTATTTCAGGGAGGCTGTTCCCTCTCCCAATGCAGTGCCCTCACCACCAAGTTTTATGGTGATTATCATGCTCTTTCAAATGGACCCAATTAATAAGTTTGTTATACAAAGTGACAGAGTTTCATGAGGAGGAGATGAGAGGATGCCCGTTCACAATACCCAGTAGCCTCGGGGTAAGGACATTCTTTCATTAGGTGAAAGACCTTTGAAACGTGCAAGAGATTTGAATCTCTCTCTTCCACATTCCTGCCAAGTACCCTAACCTCTGCAGTGTAGGAGGGTTGCTATTTCTATCTCAGTTTTGTGAATGGTGGCAAAGTCTCATCATAAACCCAGCCTAGGTAACTGGAAAATTGTATTTTAAGAAATATTGATATGAACCTTTTAGGATCTTGATGACTTTTCTTTCCTTTTTTTAGTGTCTCAGCTGAATCAAATTTACATAAATAGGCAACTACTTTTGGGTGATCTCAAATTGCAATTTTTGTGAATCTGTTATTCAGCAAAAAAATAATTTACTCAACTGTAATATTAATATCCAGACTATATATAATACACACACACACAGACATGTAGAAACAAAATGGCATGTTGAAAAGCTGCTCCACATACATTTTGATATCTGCAACATCAACATTCTTTGCATCACTCGAAGTATTTGATAAAAAATTTCAACTGTTCACCTGATTTCCTTTTTCTCCTCCTTCCTAGGTTGCTAAAAGTGAATCTACCCAGAAACTGGAACCAGGATCCCCTCTGACAATTGAATCACTCAAGCAAGAACATAACAGTCCTCACATCTTGAACTTCGTAATAATTTTCATTTCCAGGGCATTTTGCCTTGGATTTATTTCTTTTCAATGACATGGTTAAGCATGGCATATACTTTTCTTAGTAGGTTAGCACCAGTCAGCTGTTCAAAAAATTAAAAAAAAATCAGAACACAATTTAAAACTGTTGTGTTGTCCTTTATTTTTAAATAGTACTTTGATTCCTTCCTTCCTTGAAAGTACACACTTTTGCACCCTACCAATGAAAAATTAGTTAATACCATTTATGAACTAAAGAACCACCTTTCTATTTGGGGCTGGATTGTAATGCCCATACTCACAATTGCAGTGTGAGCATCTATACCCACTTGAAGAACCCTTTACACTAAAAGTGTTTAAGGAGCCCTTGCTATTAATTCAAATCAGAGACAATTAAAAATACAAACTTTCGTGTAAAGTATCGTGGAAGTCATTGAGGCTATTCCCAAGCTCAAACATAATCACCTGTAAGGATATGATACTCTGGCCTGTTATTTGAAATATATCTGTTAGCAAAACTATATGAATATTATGGCTGTTGAGAAAACATTTTCAAAACACAAATATAAAAGAAAAAAACCACGCATTAAGAAGTGGGCAATCCCATTTTCTTCTTTAAGCCTTCTCACAGGCTGACCCAGACTGGGGGGTCAGGGTTCGAAAGTTAAGGGCACAAGTCTAGCAGATCAGAGCTGAGAGCCAGAATACCAGAAGTCTGAGAACTGAAGCCAAGGATCAACAAGTTCAAAGATGAAAGGGGGTTGGGGGGAGGGAGGGGAGAGAGGTTACGTGCCAAAGGAGTCACTGCAGAAGGAAGTCCAAGAAACCAGGGTCACAAACCAGATGACAGTCTGAGCCTGAAGTATTAACTGAGGGGTCAAGTTGGGTTCATGGTCAAGACAAAAGACTATGATTTTTACATGTTTCTGTTATTTATAATTATTTGATAAGCAGGTTTTACAAACCATTCAATAACAGATAATTTATGAACACATGTTCTAGTTAAGATGTATGATTGGTCAATTAAGTTATATGACATGGGTTATCATACCTGATTAGAAGATTTGTCCTTCATGAAGAATGTCTAAAAAATCCTGGAAGTCTCGAGTCACGCCATCTTTTCTTGTTTCCTGCTGTACAATCATCCTCATCAGACAGGCCACTGAGCAAGTCAAAACTTTGAATTGCAGTACCTCACAGAAAAGAAACAAATACTGTATTTCCTTACATACAGTATACCCTAGAATACAATAAGCACCTTCTTTTTGAAAGGCAAAATGAAGAAAAAAATATTTTTCCAGAGTTATGGCTACATAGAGCTGGGACAGAGCCCAATCTTCACCTCCATTTCTTGTTTAGACTGTGAAACAGGAGGAGAAAGATGAGGAGCATCTATCAGGCAGCAAAACTGCCCAGAGAAAGTTTGGCTTGATTAATGGAACATCAAGACATCTAAAAAGAGAGATGGTCATTAGCACCTGTGAAGAACAAGGAGCCATTCAGTCAACTTACTCCCATAGCTGCCTGAATAGTAATGCCACAGCTGCTGGACTGCAGAGAAGGAATCAAGGCAAGGTGCTTCTGTCCTGGGCAGAAAATTAGCTTCCCCACTTAATATATACACTCCAGTTTTGGGAGGCTGATTTTGAGGGGAAAGATGCATTTTGTATGTGAGAAAATACAATAACCCAGGAGAATGTTTTCACACCAATGTTAGACAACTGAGCTGCTTGCCTTTCTGATAGAATAGTTCAATCCTTTACCAAAATTTATTTTGGGTATTGGCCTGTGATACTGAAACGGTCTTACTGGATATAATTGGGTAAAATGTCATGTCCCATAGTGTCAACTTGTTTTGTCACATACTTCTCAAACTGTTTCCTTAGGGTAGACCTAAGGAATTTTAAGATCTCCATCACCTGTTCTAGTTAATGCAAAGATATTAAAACATTCCTTTCCTTATTTCTGAAGAAAGGACAGTTAATTTCAAAGAAAAGCAAAGAAGTTGCATCTTCTAGATATTTTATCTGCTTGTTCATTAACCCCCTCAAGGGATTTCTAAAACTACAGAAAGATAGTTTTTCCTGTATTCTAGCTCTCTACTCTATCATTTGTATATAACGGGTTTACATTTCTCTCCAAACATTTTTAATTGATTCAGTACAGAAACATTTTCTTCCTGATCTGTATTTTAAATCAGTCCTGCTTGAAAATAGCAACCACATTAGCTAAACTCCGGCCACTTGTAGAGTAGCTAATTTATCTTTTAAAGTGCAGATTGTTATAATCCGCTGAGCCAAGTCACCAACAAATCCATGTCACTAGTTTCTCTCTACTTTATCCCATTGTTCCAGCATTCACACACCCACCCCATCTTCAGAGCTAGATTCAGAGCTAAAGTTTCAGATCCTGAGGTGTATGGATTCAGATTTTGGGATGACTTCTACCTTTGTGGTATATATTTGATTAACTTAGGGAACCTATTTTTTTTACATTGTATCTTATAGATAATTGCTTTTCAAGGATGATAATAGCCTCCACATTGTTTCGAAGACTCTGAAACACCCCGTGATGGACCATGTATTATTATTAAGAGGGCTTCCAAAACAAGTCAACAGGGTCAGAGTTAGTCGGTTTGGATACATCTTATGCAAGTACCCTTACCTAAGACATTGCGCGGGCTGTTAACCTGTTGGAGTATTTTTCTTTAAATGTTCATTTCTAGGTTTAAAATGTGTGGGTATTTTTTTATCTGTATTGTTGCTCTGTATATATACATACAGAACCTGAACAGACAAAGCCTCTAGAACATTAATTCTTTTGGGGTAAAAAATATACCCTCTGGTGTTTCCTCAACTTAGATCAGGCACTTCAAGCTTCCCCCAGCAACCTCTGCAGTGTCAAGCTTAGGAGCATGGTAGTGCCCCTGGCTTCCCCTGCCCATGTTGTCCTTGATAGTCCATGAATTCAGCAAGGTTTCTCATTCCTCCTCCTAAGCACTGGACTACAGGTTTTAGTTGTCCTGCTTCATATTTAGGTCTGATCTATATTGTGTTTTGACAACCAATCTATGTTGGGCAAAGATTTGAAAAGTTCACACCCCAGAGCTAAAACTGCCTTTGCAGACAAATTCCCCCATCTCGACATAGCTAAGCTAGCAGAATAAAGCAACCAGTTTTCAGGCAGCAAAATCTGAGATGCAGATCTACGTGCTCTGAAACAGGCCTCTGAAGCAAAGAGTAGTGGACATCACTTGCTGTTCTGGTTACTGTAGACACTATGCAGTACTGCGACACACGGATTGTTTCTGCTGAGAGGCAGAGTTAATTATCCTAAGGACAGTGCCACTTGAACACTGCTGTGCTGCTTTCCATTCAGGCAGTAGCTTGTGCCTACTTCTCAAACTGGAAGCAGTACGTATATATTTCACATAGCTTCAAACACCATCACCCTGCAGCCTTTCTGCAGACATGGCAGGAAACTGCTTGGTACTGATTTGGGACAAGTTTTTCAAATTTTCATTTGTGTTCCAATATATACCCATGATATTCCCAACAGGTTTCTTTTAGTCACTGGAAACTCCCATTTCTAGATGCATTCAGGATAGAAACAAAAAGAGAAGAAGAGATAAACTTCTGACAGACAGCAGAGAAGACTGGGAACTAGTGCTTCCAAAACTTGAGGCTTGCCTTGTGTCATCATTAGAGTTGCTCTAACTTGTACCCAGGATCAGGGACAGAATTAGATATGCCTGACCCACCTCCCATCATTAGTTGTGGAATGGCTGTCAAAAATGTATAGGATGCACCCAGTAACATACTTAATTATAAAGAGCTGTACTCGTTCAAATTATTAACAATAGAAGTGAGAAAATACATCCCCTCAGAGTGATATACAAGTATAAGCAATAAAGAAAAAACATGGATACAGAAAACACAAGCAATCCAAGAGATATCCCCAAATGTGATTAGAAGTCTCCTGGACTTTATCTTGTACTCGATGCACAACAAACAAAACTCAGAATTAAGGTCATGGCATGTGAATAAATGTTAGCTCATCTACATACTGATATCTATATTAACTGTCCCCACCCCTACTATAACTAATACAATACCTACGTTCTTGGATAACCACTTATACATAAACACTAGTTGTACACTTCCATTATCAAAACATTATTTGTTCACTGTTTATCTTGACACACACATCTCTATATAGGTATATAATGAACTGCGTACCAAGTATATATTTTCCTATTCACCACTGCTACAAAGCCACAGATAAACTGTATCTCCTGTCTCCCCTCCACACGCATATATGGCAGGAGGTCAGTGTAGATACTGAACAGGCATGGCTGTAGATTCCAGACTACTTCAATTGACACCTTTGCTTTGGTCTGTTTGGGACTGGCTGAGTAATACCTTCCACAGGGGAAAGGAAGATGTTGAAACCTCAACAGCTGCCCTGTCCTCCTGCCATCCCAAGTGACTTCGTGCCAAGGTCAGTGTTCCATGCATAAATTTCATATGGCTGAACTAGAAACTCCTATTCATTAATTATCCCACACCACTATTTCTATGGACTAGATTTTTATATCCTTACTCATGGCAAGTAACTTCCTTTGAGTTCAGTGGGACAACTCATAATGTGTTATTATGGAAAGGATATCAATATCTGGTCCTACAAGAAAGGAAATATTACCAGGGTCTCCGTCAGAATCTAGCTTGGGTAATTGTACTGAAGCTAAAATTCTCAACTTCTCTTCTAGATAAAATGCTGATGTTCATTTTTATGTAAAATTGCAAAGGCGAGAAGCAGTGTTGTGTTGGCTCTTATGATGAGAATACAGGATCTATTTGACCACGACTTGAGTCAGGTTAGTAGGATGAGATGTGAAAGCTCAAACTGAAATTCTATGTAGCCCAAAAGTGGAAATGCAGACACATTGCCTTAAAGCACCCTGCCCATAGGAGTACCAGGCATACTGCTACCGGCCTTCTGAAGGTGCAGCCTATTCTGCTGTATGGGCCACCTGCCCAGTACAATAAGAAAAACAAAACAGAACAAATGAAGCAAAAAAATTATGGTTCTCTTTCTCCCTTCCTTTCTCACTGTTGTCTTATAAAAGGATCCTCTTCAGTGAATACTTTAACACTACCAAAAGTGAAGCTCATTCTGTGTATATTAAAGCTGACTAAATAATAGACTTCTCAGTTTGTCACCAATATTGAAAAAAATGGGGATGGAAAAAACAGATTAGTTCGAAACTCAGAGTATTTTGTTTTTGGCCTATCAGGAAAGTTGAAAATATTAAAATATCAAAGTGAAACTTTTTGACAATGTTGTAAAAAAGCATTATGATCTTTTGTAGCCCAGGAAAAAAGGCAGCTGGTGACAGTTTTGATTTTGAGTTCCCTTGCTTCATAGGAGCTTCATGCTTCCATGGCTATATTACTTCCAGTGCCCAAGCTAACTTGTTTAAAGCTAACTTGGATACCTCTACACTGCAACATACAGCATGATAGACTTAAGGGTATTTTTCCTCAGAAAGCCAGTGTTTACTCATTCTGATAAATGAAATCTTCTCCAAATACATGCACCTCTCAGAGACTATGGCAGATACACCAGACATTCTGAATATGTTACTTGTTGAGCAGAGAGGGCGAGGGCCAGCTCATGTCATGCTACCCCACACATCCATCTTCAGATTACTTACAAGAGGATGTGAACTGATGGGCACCGGCCTCCTATCCGGAAAATATCCTTCCACTGTTATGTCCCCTGCAACAGCAGCAGGCCCTATCTACTCAAGGTTAAAAAAGGCAGGTTAGACGATACATTTTTAATGGATGCCTTTTACTGTCTCCCTCGGGGGTACTGAATCTGTTACTCTGCCATATTGCCTCCCTGTGGAGATGACAACTCTAATGATGCTGGGCAATGATTTCAATCACCAGTAAAATCAATGAAAGAGTAAAAAAGATTGTCTCAGTCTCTTTTTCAACTGTATTATTCTCGCCTCAATTTTCCCTGATTATCAAAGAGAACCTACAGTACCTTCAGACTGGGAGACTAGATATCTCACCACATAGCAGTGGTCCTACTCCCTGATGCTTTCCAGATGGCAATTTCCTAGCACAGACAGCATGGCTCACCCCAGTGATGTCTGTCAACCTGCTTCTAAAAATAGGTCTGTATGTGCTTTAGTTTTCTCTTCAATCCCTGCCACATCATCGTTGCAGATTAAAAAAATGTATGGATTTGCTTCTACATGGGCGGTCACTGGGAAGGTGCAGTTTAGAAACTAGTGCCTGACTGTGCTTGCATGGACCCAGGAAGGCTGAATGACAAAAGTAAGTCTCTGTCCCAGCATCGTACATCGTGAACTTCCACCTGGACAACCCCAGCTTCATCATTCACTTGTGTAGCAGGTTGTTTCGAGTCTGGTGACATGCTGCACAAGCCTGCCATAAGTGACTGCAGATCTTCCTGACTGTTGCCAGTAGTTCTAGGAGCCACCATCATGCACTTTTTTTGTAATGTATGCTTTGTTGCCTATTGCCACTAACCCGGCAGAGAGCATTAGGCTCTTAGCCACACATCCATGACATCATGCAGTTTGTTCCAAGAAGATACTGGCATTTTAATGTTTTCCAAGGCAACACAGGCCCAGGGTGATGCGCTGTTGACTGCAGCTGTGCATGTCTCCACCGCCAGTGCCTCTGGTGACCTTGTGGGCTGTAACAGATATGTACTCAGTCACCTGACAGCTGATCCAAATGTCAGTGCATCCTCACCTCTGCAGCTATACAGGCTGTGATTTACCGCACCAGTTCCCACAGCACACAAGTAAGGCATCACACGCTTAGCAGAATAAGAACAGCTGGGGAAATCTCTCACATGGAGGCAGCTGCAGCCACAAAACATCTGAAGCCCTCACCTTGTGTCAGAGAATGGACACAGATCCAGGGCCATCATCCTTGCACGTTCTGTGGCGAGTTTCAGATTAGGGCATTTGGCTGCTCTGAAAAGACTCCAGAGGTTCATTGTTCTGCTGCTGAAACCATGGAAAGGGCTGGTGGTGCCAAGCTAGCTCTCTCATAGACTCAGTGACCATTTGCTTTTCTCCTGAGGTCCTCTATTGTGAACTCTTTGCCCTGTAATTGTGTTTCATGTGTTTTATCATGACAGATACTGCCAGCCTTCTGCAGTAACAGCCCAAACTAACTGAACATGTGCAGAGCTAGCCAGTGGAACTGTTTCCAGCATCAAGTAGGAAACGGTTCCAAACCCAGGAGCCCAGGTTTTTTTTGCTTTTGGCATTGCAGCTGGTGATTTAAATGCAGGGTGGGAACACTACCAAGCATGCATCTAATTCCCTGCCCTCTCCCCCAGGCATCTCCAGGTGAAGCTGAGACAGTGACCATTTGGAAGCTCTAACAAACACCTGCTGTCCAAAGCTGGAAAATTCAAGCACAATTATAGAGTACAGTGTACCACAGCCTGTAGCTATAGCAGCTGAAGGTAAGTTAAACTCTTCCTTTTCCAGTTCACTATCATCACCACATCCTGCACCCAGAGTAATCAATTGTGCTACAAGGCCCTCTTCAGAAGCACTATGTGCCTTGATCAAACAGTAGCTGCAGCGGTGGCAGTAGGCCTGGGTGGACTGATGCTCTGGGAAAGCCAAGATCCTGGGTATAAAGTTGCAAGCAAGCCTGACACTCACCAGCTTCTGCACTTACCAAGGTTTAAGGAGAAGGGGACTATATTCCCACTCTAAGGTGCCCAAGAGTCATACCTCAAGAATGGCCTTGCTCTACAGCTCCACTAACAGGCTCTTGGGCTGTGGTTTTGGCTGTGATGTGGCAATAGTTACTTGAACTGGTTGCGACATCAGAAACATGTTTTACTTGTCCATGACTGAGGAACTGCTTGCTTCCTTCATGTGCTAGTGGGGAAGGAGAGGAATTTCCATGTGGGAGTGAAATTAACTCTTGTCTGAAAACTGTACTGCACAACCAGCATAAGTATGGGAGGAATCAGAGAAAGAGAACACATCACCATCCAGCCACTCCTAGAAAGAATTCTCCCAAACCTGCTGCTTCATATGCTTTTCCAAAAACTTCCGTCTGCTGTGATCCAGAGCTGTAGACAGGCCTAGCATCAAACACGTGAACCAATCAGTCCCCAGTCACACGGAAAAGCTGACTTGAAGTGTGACACAAGAGCCAGTCAGAAATAATGCACAAGTGACAAAAGCAGAATATTTCAAAAGCAGCCTGAAATGAAATGGCAAGGTTGGCATGAAATAAACTTGCAAAATCTAAATTAAAGCAACACTTGACATATTTCTCAAGTGAAAACCAGTTTTCCAAAATCTGTAAGTATTTCTCAGATAATTCAGCTTTCATAAGTCAGCATTTTTCAGCAACAAATGGATTTGTCAAAAAGAAACAAATGGCTTGCTATAATATACACTTAATCTTAGCACCAATAGGACATAAATGTGCAGCATGAGTTTAGTGCTTAGAACTGAAAGGTATAAAAGTTTGAGTACTCTCTCCACTCCCTTTATGAAACCACACTATATAAGCCAGGGTATTTCTTGAGAGTTAATACAACTTCGCGCCTAAAACTATAACTAATAAGCCATCTACATGAATTTGTTTCTTTGATGAAAGGAAAAGTCCTTAAACGAACTATGAGATAACTTACCTGATATTAGAACAAGGAGCATAAGTAAGGATAATTAATCAACGCATTTGCAAAAAAAAAAAAAAAAGATTAAAGCCTGTTTCTTTCAGGTTGTTTGTATAACAGCCTGAACCTGTGGTCTTTACATAGTGAAAACCTCATTGTGAGATTTGCCCATTGAGTGGTATTGGATCAATGGGCGATGGCTCAAAGATAAGAGACTTAAAGTATTTATTAAAAGGCAGGAGTGACAACTTTTGTTGATAATTTTTATGAGTCACAGCAAGATCTAGAAGTTTAGGTAGAAGTTCTGCACAGCTCTGGAAGCAGCAAAGTTCTACAATTTGGATATATTTTCTACCTTATAAAATGACTGTTTCAGATATCCAAATCTTTCACATAATTCAATCCTGGGATTGGACTCATGGGATCTGCATCAAATTCTGAGATTACATTGGCAAAATCGTGTATAAGAAAGACCATTTATTTGACAGGCAGAAGGGAGGGTAGACTGGCATAACTCATTCAGAAAGGCATAAACTTTTGTAGGTGACAATCTACTTCATCAGATGCTATTTATTTGACACATGAAGTGTAACCCTAGCTACAGTGCTACCCATGGCCACATCCAGATTCAGGGTCCTGGGGTGTCAAGTAGCCTTGGTCAACCTCCCAGTCCCTAAGGCTGGGGCCACTTCTCCATGGAGTGCTTTCTTGTGGTTTCTCCATGCACTGGAATACATGCAGTTTAACTATTTGCACAGTTCATCATTTACAGGACAGTCAACATATGAATGAGGTTAACAGCAGAACAGGATATCAATAATCTAATTGTCAAAGGCAGGTATCAATGTACACTGTACAAATTGAATCAAAGACACCCTCAGTACAACTCCCCAGTTTAAACCTTGAGACTGCAGTGCATTTCAGCAGCACACAGGGGTAACAAGACATCAGCTCTCCTTGACACTGGCAGCACAATGGCTGGTGCTGCTGCTTTAGAAAGCCCTGCTCACAGCTACAGCCTGCGTGGGGAGGAGCAGCTCTCCTCTGCTCCAGCTGTCTGTGATATCTGCAAAGAAACACACACTGTCCCCACTCCCCAAAGCACCTTTCTCCAATTCCCAGATACGGCCCCTTGTGCTGATAATTGAAACAGCCCTGGGTTTATCACCCACCCAGCCCCAGGCTGGTTCTCAGTTAACTCTCCCCAGAGCCTTCCCAGATCAACACCTTGCCCTCCTAGGCAAGTCTACCATACCACCCTTTTTCCTCCACATGGGGGTCCCTCTGCCTCACAGAGGAAAAAAGGATATCGGGTTATCTTCTCCCCATCACTAAGGGCAGGTTCACTTCACAGGTGGACTGCAGGTTGGTTCCTCCCCAAGCTCTATGGTCCCCTGACCCCTTCCCTTCTCTGAGCCTGCCTGAGTCCCCGGGGCTCAGTTCCTGCCCCTCTCCTTCCTCAGGAGCCAATCAAAAGCATGCATATGCTCTTGAAAGCAACAACTTTCTGCAAACTTTCCTGCTCTGCCTTTGCAGAGATCCTGAGCCCTCCTGCAAATCTAGCAGCAGCTGTTACAGAAGTTTTCTCCATTGGGAGGTAGGAAGACGGGTCTCTCATGGATGTTATATTGCAATACAATCTACTTCTGTGTGCATCTAGACAATAATAGACAATAATAAACAAAGCATGTATAAGAAGGTAGTTCACTGAATCAACAAGGAGCATGACTTCCAGTGGATCATTCCATTAACACAGAGAGTGAACAAAATGAGCTGCTGTAGGCCTGAACACTAACTGCAGAATGAATAGTGTTTATCAATTAATGTTTCCCTCAAAACAAAAGTTGCTCAGTCTAGAAGAGTGTTTTGTCTTAATTCTGACTTGACAGGACTTTGTAGAAATCAGTTGTTGCACAAGGCAAGGTATCATACAATAAGAAAAGATATTATTATACTAGGCCAGGGATTTTAAAATTCAGTTACCAGTTGCTAATGGCTAGTAGAAAGTATTCACTGGTGAGCAGGAAAGCATGGGACATAAACCTGTGTTGTAGTTAAGTTGTCTTAAACAAAATAATGAAGGCGGCTAACATGGGCGACTGGTGCCTCTTGAGTCAGGGGGGCATGTGCCCCCCCCTTACACCAGTCAGCAACTGGGGGGCGGGGGGCAGGGTGCAGGCCCCAGCAGCCGATTGCACTGACCGGGAGGGGGGGGTTCCCTTGGCGGCCAATCTCACTGCCCGGGGAGGGTCCCCTGCGGGCAATCTCACTCACCAAAAAGTGCCTGCGAAGTGGGGGCACCAGCGCTCACGGGAGGGGCACTAGCACTCCCTCCTGCCCCCTTGCGCATCACCAAAACAGGGAGCATGGCCTGACAGGGGGTGCATCAGCACTCTCAGGGGGTGCATGTGCACCCCCTATGCATTGTCACTGGCAGCTAGAGCTGGTCAGAAAAATTAGAAAACTGACATTCAATGAGTTAAATTTTTCTTTAAAAAGCATTGCTTCCCACAGAGAGTTGTCCCAAAAATGGAGGATCTGAAAACTAAGAAATGTCTGATACACAGAAAAGTTTTGATTCAGAAG